CAACCCGCGAAACAACCAATCACAAAAAGCAATGGCCCTTGACAAAACAATGGTTCTACATTCTACATGTTTTGCTATAGTAGGGTTTCTTTCAGAAGCCCACGGTTTCTCATCCAGCTGGTCGGCATGACCATGGATTCATCACTTAATCCAAGGGCCCCGTCGGGCCGAAACACTGGGCGAGGGCAGCGTCCAATGTCTTCATGTACCATGTACTTTAGGCAAATGCATGTGTTTTTTCCTTTTTCTTTCTATTCGACACCTTTGAAATGGTAATCCTTTGTATACTATGACTATGCCTATGATTTCGATACTATATGTATATTTATGTATATTACAATATTATATGTATTATATACATAAACAACAGGACTTGGACAGGGACAATAGATATAGATGTCACCACCCCAGAAACTCTTGGCAAGGCCGGCCTGAGACTGAGACCACTCAAGCTTCCCTGCCAAAGTCCTGGATTCCACCTGGAAGTCAACAAGTCACTGAGCGGTCGGACGGCTGGACGGAGCGGTCGGACGGCCCACGGTCAGTGGTGAGGAAGGGCCAGGCCCAGCAGGACAGTCTATAGGTTCCGTAGCCGCTCTTTGGCAGCCGCATGGCAGAAGTGAAGGAATCGGAGCATATTCCCAAACTGGCCACTTTTCACCCAGCGTTCCAAGATGAGGGGATGGTGCACATGCCGTAAAAACAACAAGGGATGCAACGTGCATTGGCCCTTTGCTTCCTCGAAAACACATGTTCAAAGCGGGGGTCTCGTCCACGCTCGCCGTCTCTCGTTGCCTTCCTCTCCACTCGCATCCTGTCCCGACGGACCGGACGCCGCAGAGCCCGCTTGACCCGAGGTCCAACAACCGGTCGCTTGACCCGAGGGACCCAACCGGCAGAGCCATGTACTGGGCCGGAAAAGAAGGACGGTGTTAACCTGTGACCTGGCCTGGTCTTCGAGATCAGATCGATCAGACAAGGTGGATGAGTTGGTTGATTGGTTGATTGCCTGCTTGATTGATTGCTTGCTTGTTTGATTGGATGAAACGTTGGTGCCGGTGCCACGCATCGACAAACGATGTTTTAGATCAAGCCGAAGTAAACACCCATGCGGCCCATACGGCCCATAGCAACACTGTTGCACTGAAACTACTGGGTGAGGAGAGTTCTTTGGGGGACCTTGTATATATATATATATATAGTGGAGTGCACTCCCTGTAGAGCTATTTTTTAGTGCCGCACTACTATACTGTCTCCTTGTAGTGACAGCCCATTCTGAATATCAGCTATAGACACATATAGAAACCTATATGACATCCTATGACCCCAAAAACACAAAGGAAAAAAACCGCTCCAGACTCCAAACCCAGCCCACACGATGAAAAAAGTGCCTCAGTGTCTTTCAGCACCAGCACCGACTGAGAGCTGAGTACCAAGTCAAGGACCTCCGGTGCGTCGTCCGCGAACTTGAAGCGAAGCGACACAGAACTCAATTGGAACTCATTTTCGCCTGTGAACTCGATGGACGATGTTCCGCACAGATATAGGGCACAACTTCCCCCATATCCAATCCCTGGCAGCAAGGAACTAGCCATCCCTCAAGTAATCAAGCATCTTCCTGCACAGGAGCCGCTGTTGATGTGAAGGAACCATTTGGTACTTGGAGCCAGTCATGCATTGTGGAGGACAATCCGTGTCAACATCGGAAAACGCGCCCTTCCACTCCTACATCCAAGGCGTCCCTTAATGGACTTGTCCACACGACTCTCTCTCTCTATAATTACACATTATACATCCATTGGATATTTACCTTTGGATCTTTGATCTTTGGGAATCCGCTGAATCCGTAGAATCACATCGATCTCTGACCGAACACGGCTGGCACTCACAAAGAGCGGTCTTCCAAGGTTGCCATCCCCTTTCGTCTTTGGGACGCCCTTGTCTAAATTCTGTAATTAACAATATTACTTATATAACATATATATATATAAATATGAATGTGTGTCCAAAAGGTCTCATGGTGTCATCAAGTCATCAAATCAATCCGGTCAAAGAAACCTCGTCACGGTCAGACGTCGCAAAAAACGGTCCGCGCACTGCCGCGCTGCCTTTTGCACGTCTTCGGAGCTGGACCGCATCGTGGCGGCAGCTGAATGCTCCAAGTGGCAGCACGGTTAGTGTGCTCCACCCACTGCACGGCGCAGCTGAAAAAATACCATATCGACAACCAACATGGGCCCAAAGAAGAGAGCCAGCATTGGGGATATACAACGGAAATGCCCATGGGCACACCTTCTCAAATATGCACAATTTCTGGTTTCTTTACCTCTTCCAGGTCCATGGCAGGTCGCGGGCAATCGTTCTGCGTACTAGATGCGCTATGAAACCCCATGACGAGGCCAACACTTGTGGAAACACACCACAGTTCGCAAACCTGCCGCACAAAAACTGGTGTAGAGTCTAGCTGCAGAAGTTCGGATTTCCCTTGTTGGCCTCGTTCAGGGGCCTTCACCAAAGACTAGTGAAGGCAAAACACCCAAACACTCCATATATACATTGACCTTTGAAAACACGCCAATGTTGGCACGCCTTGGATGGATGGAGTGTCAGCAAACATGGATGCAAAACGTGTCCATTCTTTCTCTGGATCCATTCTCGCGAGATCCCCTCCAGACCTCACCACCAATCCTGAAAGAACTGAAGCCCAAAAGAGAGGTCGTGACAGGAACCTCCCAGAGAGCTCAAATTGTCCAAAAACTACCGCACGGATTGGAAACCGTACCCTATTTTGCAGGTTCTCATGTCAAATTCATTGGTAAACGCAGTGCTTTGTCATGCGTTTTTGTCTAAATAGAAAAAGCTTTTGCGTAACAACTCAACTTGCCTGTTTTTCGTGTAACTAGCTGTCCCCAGTCAGGCTCCGAGTGCAAGTCTTTTTCATCGGTGCCATTGTCGAGCAAATCAGCGGCGGCGCACCCATCGGACATGGAGCCGCTAGAACTACGCAACAAACCCCAACCCAACACCAACAGTCACCAACAGAGAAGGAACTAGTTTCTGCTTTTTTGAAAAAACAAGCCTCAACCACACATTGCACCAAAGTGTGAACAACGAAAGACGAGTTTCTAACACCTGCTCCCAGTTTACCCAGCCACGATCTGAACCCAAAACTGTTTCGTGAACAAAAGAAACTAAAGGGTCAGCACAATCACGGGCCGATTATGAATTCCCACCCTGTATCTTCTCCCTCACTGAGGAGCACGAACCTTTGCCAGTCAAGACTTCTCAGCAAACCGATGTCGAAATTGATCACCACCAAGTTGTTTCAGCATCCATTGGAACCCTTGTTCAAATATGACTGAGCCGTCTTTGTCTTCGCGTCACCATACACCAGCCTACTCACTGTAGGGGACCTTTGACTTTGTCTGTCTTTACGCATTGTGCGTGATGACGCACAGCTTGTGATGACTTTTCAGAGAGAAGGAGGAACTGAAGCAAGTACGAGAAGATAATTACGAGAAGCACTGAAGCAGCTCAGGACGTTCATGACAAGCCTTGCCTCGGACGAGTGCCTTCAAATTATTTCAAGTTCATATATTCATGTTCGCAGAAGAGGGCTCTGCAACCCAGATCACGTCCACAAAATGCTTGATGGAAAGACTGGCCATGGATAGCCTTGCAAGTAAAGGAGGCCCTGAGACAAACGGAGATCGTTAGGAGAAAGACACATTCATTTTGAGTTTGCTCACATTTGAATGCCAGTACTGTAATTATCTCCTTTTTCAACTCAGACTTGCTGGAGATACTTCGGCCGGCCTGAAGAGGCCGCACACAAAGACAATGGCCGAGTGAGATACGAAGTGTTTGCGCAAATGGCGTCACGCAAACCTGTTACTGCTTCCACCTCCATGTTACTTGCTGAAGTGTAACGAAGGATTGATTGAAAGAACAACTCAGGTCGAGTTAGGTAAAGCTCAGAGCCATGAGCTTTAGCGATATACACGCCGTATAAAACCACAAATGGTTTACCCAATACTAAAATATATATACTTTCACAAGGGTCCGTTGATTTGTTTGTCTTTCTGTTGACCTCCAGCTGCAAGTTTGTGTCAGCTCAACCAAACCACAAGGACAAGCACAACTGCTAATTGTTTACCCAATACCAAATGTTCCACGAGTGTCCATGGTGTTTTGTTTTGGTGGCCTTGTGAGGTAGGTGGATATCACAAAGTATAGTGTGCAGACGTGACAGTTGGCATGCAAGCTAACCAAGGTGGTATGCAAATGGACAGTCCAAATCAGTCATAATGTTTTTTCTTCTGTACATTTTTGGAGCACGGTGGAAAACTCGGGGTTCAAGGTTCGGAGGGTTCGGGACCCTGCAAAACCGAAACTCTCAACAATCACGAAGATGGTGTCCTGAAACTTTACGAGCCCCAACATGCACAACATGTTCCTGCTGGGTCAAGACTGACTCCCGATGCCGTTTTCCTGAACCGGTTCTCGTCAGCAAAACAGTTAGGCCTGAAATGGCCTGAAAAAAACTGCTTTCGTCCGTGGCTTGACCACCAAACTGTCCACCTGTTCACCTGTTCCACCATCCATTCAGACCACAGACTCTGAACACTTTCCATCTGATCATTTTTTGTGATATGTTGTGATCCACTTTTCCTGGGTAGGGATCTCTGGATCACCCAGAATGATTCTGAACAACACTGGGAGAGTCAGACGGTCAAGGTGCCGCTCCCGGTTTCCCGAACCAAAAAAGCGATGTGAACCACCCGGACGTGTGGTATTGACTTCCTAGTGGCTTAGTGCTGGTAGTGGTATCATGTGGTAGCACCTCAATGACTCATCATTTCTCCCAGCGAAAATTAAATGGCAAGAGGATCAGCAGATCAGCAATGCTCACGTATGCTCACGTCAAGTTCTCTGAAACTTGACAGCAAAAAACGCACACATGTAGCTCAACAGCAATTTGAGTGATCATCTCTCAACTGTGTAGGACAATTGAGCATGCTGCATGCTGCAATTAATAATTAAGCGTGTCCCACACTTTCTCCAAGAGTGGGATCCAAAAAAGACATGCTAGTGGCTAGTGGCACATCCAGACATACCTGGACACACCTTCACCGTTCGGCGCCAGTCGTGGTGCATCTAACTCACTGCGCAACAGCCTCCCGAGTGTTTCCGCACCAGCCATGGGTTCTGCAGGGCGTCCTCTGCATGAGAACGTTCCGGTTCCAAGGACACCATGCTCTCAGCAAACTCCCAGGCACCGTGCCCGAGCCTCAGAAGAAGTCAGCACGACGCCGCAACGGGTTGCTGCAGATGGGTGAGGGCGACATGTCCGACTCGCCGTGGTTCCGTGGTTCCGTGGAAAACGCCCTTTCTCTCAGAGGAAAATGGTCTTCCAAGGGACCATTCATATCTAAGTTCAACCAGGTATATAAACATCTTGTATATTACCGTCCAAAGACACCAGTAATTCACTTCCATCTCAATGAGCCGGAGGGTTTATTGCCTAAAGCCTGGCTCCAGGACAGAGTCAACGTCAGGCCGGCAGGCGGACACAGATTTCGAGGACCAAAAACCACTGTCCTCTGATGAGGGCTTTCCGGCCCAGCTGAGATGGGCGTTCCCTAAGGGTTCAGGTGAGCGAAGACGAGCGATTGACTAGGTCTTTAGTTGAGGCTTGTGACTCGTGCCCTTGGATCTCAATAAAAAGACCAGATCTCACCTGTGGCTCGGATCGCTGGTGGCCGGTGTCAAAAACACATGTTGGACTTCATAGGTCTTGGCGAAAGGAGTTGGTCTACATCTGCAGGGTTTGGGATATGTTCGGATATGTTCGGTATTTGTTTGACGCCATTGGAGGCCTGAGGTCCGTCAAGGCGGCCTGAGGCCCTGGTCACAGTCACAAAAACCCCGTTGGCATGGATTTCCAAGACACTCCATGGGACGGCCGGGGTGGTTGAAAGGCCGGGGTCTTTCTGGGGCGGCAGAACTATGGCAGTCCCATGAAGTGTTGGGGATGTTTGGGAGTCAAAGCATCGCTCATAGTAACATGGGCATTACTACTAGTAGCAAGAAACTATTATATAGGTTGGAGGCCATCGCTAGTAGGTTGGAGGCCATTACTACTTAGTAGCAAGAAGCTACTAGCAACAATCAATAAAGGAATGAATGACTTGATTTCAGCTTCAATAGTCGAACTGGATTTCGGCATGAAGTTGGGCCCGAGACTTTGGGGGACTGATTTGGCTGTGGGGAGCTGGCACCGGGCTACCTGAGTTGACTACCAAAATGAACAGAATGGACTATTAAGGAGGTCAACCTACCCTGATGAAGGGGGATCCGGACGACACCTTGTCGACCAGAGAACCGAGTCGACGAAGGCCACGAAGTCCAGCCGCCCCAGTCGGCGACTCGCGAGTCGTCGAGTCGGCTTCCGAGGCGACGCTTAGCGAGAGCGTCGGACCGCTGCCCAGCAACTCCAAGTCTTTCCATGTCTCTGGCGCCATGAGCGCGATCGCCTTCTCTTTGGCTGTCTCATCTTCAAGATCTCGGGAGGGCGTTGGACGCCGGTGGTGTCTTAGTAATGTGGACCATCAAGCTGTTCGGAGAATCAGGCTCTGACGCAGGGTCCATGGATCATTTCAATGGCTGAACGGAGTGAAGACTTTGGAAGTCTTTGTCTTCACTGAGATTTGAATAATTACTGCAACAATTTAACCAGATCATGCCATAAAATGGCGTCTGAAACCGTGTTGAAGAACCGGTGTCTGTTCTTTTATGTTTTTAAAATTCAAACACTATAAACATATATATATATATGTTATATATATATTTTTTTTATGTGACAGCAGCTCAGACGTTCTTGGGAGAACACCATTCTTTTTGTCCGGCCGTCCTCCGTTTTGCCCAGGAGTCCCAAAAATATCACGGTCACATGGTCAAACATGGATAAACATGGGAGTGGATGCCGGTGGATGCCGTCATCGGTGACTCCGGTGCCACTTCCACTCCATGCAACTGGAATCTGCTGCCGCCCCCATTGACCCCTTGTAAAACGGCCGGGCCAATTCGTCGTACCATTGGCAGTCCCAAACAGCTCGGGGTGGTGAAATCCCATGAGATCCCAGCACCGGCACCTGTCGGGGTCACCTGGTTTTTCCAGACCGTCCCGATAGGATGGATCTCCGTCACAGCCCTTCACTCCCACCCGATCTTCATTTGATGTCGGCAGGCCGGAGAAACGTGTCGCTCGCTCCCAACGTGTCGGCACCCGTGTCCCGGAGAAACGTGTCGGAAAACTCGCTTCATCCCTCGCTTGACACGTCCTCGACACGTCGTCGGTCGAGGACACGGTTTCGTCGTCTCCGAGACACTCTCGGGCCGCCACCATTCTTTGCCCGTGGCCAACGCGATAAAGAGCACTCCTGTGCCTCGGATCTGTGCTCGGGACTCCAGTCATTAGGAACGGGGGAAGGCGGGGCGGAACTGGGAGGTTGGGGGTTCATGCTGTCTTGTCTAAACGAAACGTGTAAATAGAATTGGATCCATGCAGTAGATCCTCCGGAACACCAACCGGGATAAGCTTTCCTTCATGCCCCCGCTGTTGCTGTATGGCAGTAGGGCTTCTCGATTCTCGCGCCATGCCAACAAGAAATCAATAGCAACAAGAAAATACAAGAAATACCGCCACGAGTCTCAAGTCCAGTAGTGGCACAGCCCATCTTAGGTGGAAAAATAGAAATCTTGTCGGTTTCAACCTAAGTATATAGATGGCACAATCCCCAGAAGGATGTTTATATTATGGGCCCCCACATGAAAGACATCTTTGGGTTTGTGCCATCTACTCTGAAACGTACCTTTGTCTGTCCAGGCCTGCTGGCCCCGTTTCAGGCGTCCGTAGATCTTTTTGAGTCTTTTCTTCACCAGATCATATAAAGCATGATCCCAATGTAAGTAACTTGTCCAACCCCATGGATGGTCTAGGTATAGAGCTTCCCTTTGTCTTTCACCAACCTTCTGTGAGCCACCCGGGCCACATGATGCTTCGTGTCTCGGGTCGTGCGATTCTCGATAACTGGCGAGCAAGTCCAGTGGTCAGCGTGTGTTCCATGTACTCAAAACATTTCCGCACTTCAGGCAGACAAAAGTTTACGCTTGTTAGCCTTCTTACAAAACACTCTGAGGTCAGCGGCGGATCGAATTAACAAGTCTAATTTTCGTGGCAGGTGTGGGACGGTCAATTATCACACTGTTTTAAATTTACTGTACAATAATAAAAGGCTTTCCGGGGTAACAAATGACCGCCCACACCTTCCCTTGTCTCATGGTGTAGGATTCTAGGGGGATAGGGTTGTCATGAGTTTCAACATCAACAAGCGCAACTTTCATCTGGCCAGTGCGTTAAAAAAGGGGTGTTGCATTGACAGGTAACTGATTGGTTGTTTTGTAAGTGAAATGTCAATCTAGAAAGTACTCTGTCCTCTTTACAGATATAATTAACAGCAGAGGTTGAACGGATGCATGTTTTTTACATTTTTGCTCTGAGCTGCCCTTCAGGCAGAGAAAAGTTTACGCTTGTTAGCCTTTTTACAAAACACTCTGAGGTCAGCGGCGGATCGAATTAACAAGTCTAATTTTCGTGGCAGGTATGGGACGGTCAATTATCGCACCGTTTTAAAATTGTAATAATAAAAGGCTTTCCGGGGTAACAAATGACCGCCCACACCTTCCCTTGTCTCCTGGTGTAGGATTCTAGGGGGATAGGGTTGTCATGAGTTTCAACATCAACAAGCGCAACTTTCATCTGGCCAGTGTATTTGTAATCCACTTGAACAATGGGACTCGCTATTATGGCCCCCACCGGGGCGTAATGTACACAAACATGATACGTATTAACCAAATTATTGCTAATTCTCTGTTGTACTATTATCATTGTCAATGAGAATTGCTATTCATTATACATTGATATTGGCATGATACCACCAGCTCCTGTGAAGCTTCATCCAAACCAAATGCTGGAGTTGGTAAATTCTCCCGGATCGGATCTTGCGACAAAAGTCGTTCTTGGGATTAGCGTGTCTAACCTGGAATTGATCAAAGCAACAATAGCAGCAACAACAATAGCAGCAGCAACAACAACAACAGCAAAAAACACAATCTATATAGATCTATATAGTAATGTTCTGCAATTATTACAGGCATTTCAACCTGCTACATCCCGTTGCTAAACAACGTCTATTTCATGTGTGCCTGACACATAGAGCGGAGGGGACAACCGTTGAATTGCATGAAAATGGCGGTTTATTAGACTGCACACATCGTCGACGGAAAACACCTTGGACGGGACCTGGGGAGTCCGAGTCGACTCAGGCGACTCCACGAGTGGACGCCACGAGTGGACGCCGTCGACGAGCCGAAAGCAGCAGCCGAAGAGACGCAAAACGCCGAAGAGACGCGTGCGTGCAAATGGGTTGGTGGGAGTACCACTCGGGTGAAGATTCTAATTGGCAGGTGCCGATTTATACTTGGATTTTGCTTAGGAACCGGGGAAGAATCACACATAGTCCACAGGTATGGGGATATAGCCAGTTCGGGAAAACATCACCTGATCCGCAAAAATAGGTACGGTATATGCATCAAACTTTATGTCACCTGCAACAAATGTCTTCACATGAGCCATCTAAACCTCTTACATGCGGTAAAGGACAGGTGTTGATAGGTGCTCATCTACTAGTAACAAAACGGTACCCATCGCTACTAGTAGCAAGGACTCGATGTCTTCAGCCAAAAGAGGTGTCACCTGAGGTGTCATCGGAGAAGCACGTCAACTCGCTGAAAGCGCCTGGCTCAGCGCTCTGTTTTATTCCCAAACGCTCCATGTATGGAATATATATATAATATAAATATGAATGTATGCCTACATTGACCCCGCAAACTCACCCAATGTAGGCAAATATGCCATACATGGAGCGTCTGGGAAAACGAATGCCTCACCAGGTTCGGAGAGAATGCCTCACAACGAATGTGGGAAGACAATGCAATCCTCTCATCACAACGACCTGGACCGATCCATAGAGGTGTCCTGTCTCGAGGTCCATCAGACTCTGGAGGTGTCCGCGGCGGGGTGAGGAAGACCCACCGCACGGTGACCCCGATTTCGATGCCGGTGCTGCGGACCGGTTGAAGCCTGTCGGACCGGACCTGTGTTTCTTTGACTTCAAACCGCGGCGATCTGATCCGAGATGCTATAGACGTCGCATTTCTCGGTATAGTACCCTTTCTCCACCTCAGGCGCTTTGAAGGGTTGAGTGCCCACCACTTCCTCCATGTAGCTTCCGCTCTTGAAACGCGACGCCAGGCCGAAATCCGCCAATTTCCAACGTTCGCCTGACGCGTGGTGGTCGTACCACCTCCACTTCTCGCCCGAATCGGCGGCCCAAAAACCCCAACATGGCGGAAGGAAGGGGAGTGGTCCATGGCACTTCGAATTCAGGGCTTTTGAGCATGTCGGACGGCTACCCTGCACGACCCACTCTCGATCTCCAGCCAGGCACACTGGTCAGACCACGCAGGTCTTAGAAAGCTGTTTTTGTTCTTTCACAAACAGCGCGAGCTATGGGGGGGTTCATGCTTCAAGTATAGGAAGTATGGTGCCTGTGTGCGCTTTGGAGCCTGGAGTCTATTAGGTTCGAGGCCATCGCTATTAGGTTGGAGGCCATTGCAATTAGTTACATCACCAGTCTCTTTGGAGCCTGGAGTCTATTTGGTTGGAGGCCATCGCTATTAGGTTGGAGGCCATTGCTATTAGGTTGGAGGCCAGAATTTCTAGGTTGGAGGCCATTACAATTAGTTTCTTGTATCACCAGTTTCTTTGGAGCCTGGAGTCTATTGGGTTGGAGACCATCGCTATTTGGTGAAAGTGCCGAATACATCACCCTCTCAAAGGGCGGCAGTGAATCCATAGGGGTTGGGATAACTCTTGCATTACCAAAATATTATTGAACTGCGAGGTTTTCTCAAAGAATGGACATTCAAGGACCTGCCTGGTTGATGTAAGTATAATACATATATCATCGGTATCATATACCTGGATCTTCCAACAACAGTAGGCAATTTATGCCTTTGGCTGGTATGTATATATATATAATATACATATATATATAATATATAAATATGTGTGTGTGTGGCAGTGGGTCAAAACCTGGAGCTCAAAACCCTGGTCGGTTGACCATGTCTGGTAGTCTGTTCTGTTCACTCTTGCTGGTCAGCCAGGGTACCCTGGTTTTGATCCACGGCCATATACATCTATATCTGGTGCACCTCTATGTGCAAGGCACGGTCGGCTGCAAATGGGTAAAGCCATGCGAAGACGTCTCTTGTATTTCTCCATGTGGCCATGCCAACAGGTGTTAAGACTTGGCGTCGACCCAAAAGCGGATCACGTCGTGTGTTTGAAAGTGAGCATCAAAGCACAGCTATGGTGGGCACTTCCCATTGAATGGTGACCAGTGGGGTTCGGTATGCCATACAGTATGACGTACACTATTACTATGATGTTATGGTATACGGGTATACCGGTATACCCCATACCATACAATACAGCATGATGATATTATTGGCGTTTGGATTTTTACCTCACCTTCAGTATGATGTATTCTGTGATATTGTGTCGGATTTTCAAACCGGTTTTCACTGGCCAAAGCACCCGTAGACAACAGTACATTGTCTGGCTTGATGTCACGATGTGCAACCTGGCTCTCGTGAAGGAAGGCCACTGCGCTAAAGATCTGAAGCATGGTCGAAGCAATGTCCCATGATGAGGGGCGCACGTATTGCTTCTTGCCGCCCCTTCAGTATCAGGTGCGCAGAAAAACATCTGGTTTTGGGTTGCTTTTGAAGCCGGTTTCTTTTGGAGCACCCGAAGGCTGTGAGACTCATTTGGGTCTGAAAAGAGATCAGCACCCCAAGCAAAGAAACTCCTGGTTGAAAGTAAAACGTCTGCCTTTTCCATCTTAGGGTCATGGGAGCAGGCTCAAACCTGGAGTCTATGTCAAACTGCAGGCTGATCTTGCAAAGCTCCAGCACCATGTCGACCACACCTTCCTGGGTGTAGGCCTCAACAACGCCGATAATGCCCTCGTGCTCCAGGTTGCCGAGGATCTCCAGTTCCACTTTGTAGTAGGGATCCTTCTCCGATGTGACTTGCTTCCACGCAAAACGCTGCCTCGAAAGACGTCAGGAAGGACGAAAACACCGAGCCGATAGACATCCGCACACGTCGACGTGAAAAGAGCACCCTCCGGCTTTGGTGGCTGTCTGAGAGCTGGCAGCTGAGGGATGCTCGGGGTTCCAAGCACCCTCAAAGCTCCAGCACTGTGTGGTTTGATCTGCAGGCCATTCACCATTCAATCCCTAGGGATCTACATAGCGTCTCAGGTTCGGTATGCACTGGACCCCACCCAACGGATCCAGACCCTCAAATGGAGTCTTGAGGGTACAACCCCTGCAAAGACGTCGGGTCCATCCCCTATGCAGGGTCCAAAAGATTCTTAGGGCAAATCATATTCTGGTCATATCTAAATCAGTGCAAATGACTCACATGCCACATATATATATATATACATATATGGAGATAGATGGCATATATTCCTTGGGTCTGTCCTAGTACCAGTAACAGTAGATGATGATGGTTAGTAAAGACCTTGTACAAAAATAGTGTTAATTGTTTACGTTTACTGACTGTTACAGGTAATAGGACAAACCAAATATATTCACTCTTATGGTGCGTTTGGGTTTTGCAGAATTCTCATAAAGATCATGAATAATGTGAATTAACAATTGACACCTCGTTCTTCACCACCATTGACCCCTTCCCAATGGATTTTGTTTCCACTCATTGTTGAAACATGCCAAACAAAACCCGGCCCGAGCATCCTGGAAAGAACTTTCAAAAAACTTTGACTTCCAGATTCCATGATTTGGTTCACTTTTTGATCCATTCGGGAGACTATATGAAGAACTAAGTGAAGTGTCCACTCCATCGAACCAAGCGACTTGGTCCCGGTGCGAAGCACTTCCTTCACCTGGCCGAACTTCCCTTCGCCCAGCTCCTTGATGATGGTGTAGTTCCTCAGCGCACTTTGACAATCATGGAAAACACATGAAACCATATATGAAATTCCTTCTCCTTCTCCGGAATGCCACAACATGGCCTCTTCCAAAGACACCACTTGTTCCACACAACCAAAGAACGAACCAAATTGAAAAATCATTCTGGAGCTGGAGGCCATTGGCCACGGTGTTTCGGTTTGGTTGAGAATGGTTGAGAAGCAGATCAGCAACCAGCAGTGGACCAGCAGTTCCAAGGGATGGTTTTGAGTCCCATCCAAGGCTAATTTGTGGATGTCAGTGATGTCCTTTTGGGAAGAATAGAGGGAGGGGTCGGTGCCAGGTACCATTTGCCTATTGATTGCACATGACCGGGGGTATCATCCCCTCTATTGATCAACCAAGGGCGTACAAGGCCATCGGCCTGGTGGATGTGATGATTCGTACCCCAACTCCATGTGAAACAAAAAAGGCAACATGTTATTTCTGCTGCTTGGATCGGCGACCTTTTTTTTTCCTGTGCACTTCATAAGAAGTGCACTCTCTTTGGAATGCATGTTTTACATGTAGGGACATGTAAAAACGTGGAACATCTGGTCACTACACTTGTGACGAACTACAGGAGCCCAGTGGGGCTGATTTCAAGGATCATTTTATGGCTGGGTGCAGTTGGAGTGCATTGAGGAGCGTCCCGAGGTGACGGAAGGAGGAAATCAGAAACAACTCGTTAAACAGATTGAAAAGCATATGACTTTTTACCTTTTTAATGGACATTTTATGGTTGGAAGGATTTGGCAGGATCTGGGCTGCCATTAGAGTCCATTCTGGCACTCTTGAGATAGCGTCTGGAGGTGACCGAAGGATGAAAGCATTATAACAGGTTGTTCCAGATCATAAAGTATAAGTATAGTATGGTTTCAAAGAACGTTTGTCGCACGTTTGCTGGCAGCCTTTTTCACATATTCTCGGACAGCTGTTTGCCGCGTTTGCCGCACCCCCCCAAACCCCGCCCGAACCTCCCGTAGCATCTTCTGTCGTCACATCAACAAGTCATCACCATCGTGTTCTACTAATCACACGAACGAAGCCAGCCCCCCCGAACCCTCCGTAGTATCTTCTGTCGTCACATCTACAACTCATGAACAATTCATCATCATAATCAGCATCATCATCATCATCGTCATCAGCAACAGCAGCAGCAGCAACAGCAGCATCCTTGTCATCGTCATCATCGTCTATATAAGACTGACATGCATGGGCACCGGATTGGAAAAGTGCAATATGTATCGATTGTGAAAATTGGCACGACTACACGTTCGGTTTCCGACCCGGAGGCAAAAACAAGTTCAAACACCTATTTTGACATTCGCTGCCTGCGGCTTGCCAGTGCGTCTCAACACTACAACCTTCACTTCCTTGTCCTCCTTAGCTATCCAGCTATCCCATCCCACGTGTTTCAGCCCCGGACGTCTGGTCGCCCTTGTTGGTCTCAACTTAAAGAAGTTGCAGGGCGCCCTTGAACAATATCTTCCACCAACTTCCACCAACAGTAGAACAAATGGAGGACATGAATCATCACAGGCAGGTTGAAGAGGTGCAACATGCCAACACAAAAACGCTGGATGGTTGTTGATTCAGTACCAAAGTCTGCCCAGAATAGGCTTGCACAATGGAACCACAAAGCTTCCTCCACTCTTACCCCTTCCAGGGGTCGCCATCACAATGCCTCATAGAGCGGTCGTTGAGTTAACCAATGTACTGAAAGGCTCCAAAGGAGTTAACTCCAAACCGTCAGATTCGATTGTACTCTGGCAATGTATCGCTCACTGTCGCTAAACATACATATATACGATATATTACACGATATGTTATCGGTGTCACTGAACCTGCAACATGCAAATAGCAGCTTTGATACTTTTCAACCAGTTGTTGCATCCCGCAGCGCAAAAGGGTATGACGTACCATAAGCCAAGCTGAGATTGAGTTTGTCTTCTAAAGCATCCCTACCTTTGCGTATGCCACTTTTTGCATAATCTTTTCTGGTTGCTTATCGTTTGACAAAGGTTTTACTAGCTCCAACATGTGCAGTATAATATCTAAGATTGTTTGCGCTGCATGCATGTGCTGTGTTGAATTGGCAAACATGACAACAGGAGTACAGTGCATTTCATACCAGCACAGCTAGTAGCCTCATCTGCCAAAGCGTTGCGTTGCTGGCGAGTTTGTCTGGCATCTTCTTGTTCGCAATCGCATTTGTGGGCCGTCCACGGGAAGGTGGTGAAACCGGCTTGCTGCATTCGCACATCGATTTGTGGCCGGGCCGTACAAACATCGATCTCTATGCAAAGAAAAAGTCGAACCAACACAATCATCATGATTTCTATGACACTCGTTTGGGTAAACGTGTTGTCCTTTTTGCCCTTGTGGAGACAAAGAGAAAGAAGATGAACAGCTTTTGAAGGGTTATCCATGTGCAAGGCTCATTTTATGGTTCTTCCTTCATATACAATGTGACATGTTTCTGCCCCAAATTGGACAACACAAATTCAACTTGGATGGGAGTTGTCCAAGACATCAACCCTTTGCGTCCGCTTTAGCGTTCGGGACTCCAAAGACCCACTGTGAGCGTGCAACATGGTGCAACAGGTGCGTTCGATCAAACCCAAACATTGGACCTGGACTCTGATGGATTCAATGGATATATATGTATATATATGATATATATATCATAGTATATATGTACTATTATGTTTGTGTCTGCCAAACCCCTTTATTCTAGAAGTTTATCATTTTTAGAAAAAGAGCAAACAAAAGAAAACCACAATAACAAAATGCAACCAGAAAAACAAAAGCAATCACAAAAGCAAAAAAAGAGCAAAAACAATGCAATCACAAATTGCAGCCAGAAAAACAAAAGCAATCATAAAAGCAAACAAACATGCAAACAAAATTGCAATCAAAAATGTAACAACTCAGCCGGGCTTTCTGGCGCACTTTTTGGAAGGGTCCACGTTCTGGCGCGCTTTCTGGCGCGCTTTTGAGGGAGGGTCCACTTTCTGGCGCACTTTTGGGGGAGGGTCCACTTTCTGGTGCACGTTTGGTCGTTTCTTTTAATATTTTTCCGGCGCCGGGCAAAAAGTCACACCGTTGCTCGCTTTTTTAAGCATATTTTTCGCAAACATGCAAACATAAAGCGAAAAAAGAGCGAAACAAAAGCGACCCAAAAGTGCGACTTTTTACCCGGCCCCGGAAAAAAAGGGAAAACACAGCGACCAAAAGTGCGACTTCTGACCCGGCGCCGGAAAAAAAGAGCGACCAAAAGTGCGACATTTGACCTGGCACCAGAAAAAAGCGACCAAAAGTGCGACACTTGACCCGGCGCCAGGAAAGACACTTGTCCAGTACTAACCCTACCTGGCCCCTCCAAACTACCCTCTGTGTTTTGCTTGTGCTTTGATTGGTTGCAGTTCTTTTTGCTTTTTTGTTGCTTTCTTGGTTGCTCTTTGTTTTGCTTGTGCTTTTTTGGTTGTTTTCTTTTGCTTTCTTGGTTGCTCTTTGTTTTGCTGGTGCTTTTTTGGTGTGTTGTTTTTTGCATTTTTTCGGTATTTTTTCAAGTTTGTTGATGTCTAGAATAAAGCCACCTCTGGTGGACACAATATTAGGTACTCTATATATATATATATATTTAATGTGTAATAATATGTAACACGCCGTGAATTCGGACACCCTTGCGTGCCGCTTCATAGATAACGTATGTTTAATAATGAGAACATATCAAAACCTGCAACAAAAGTGACAGATAGGTCCAAGATTCAGTTTTAAAACATGGGTGCTTCCATGCACTTCCATGTGCTTCCCATTCTTGCTTCTTGATGAGCAACTACCCCCTGATTGCAAAACATTAGTCATTAGATGTCATTAGTACAACAAAATCAAACAAACACTCTTTTGACACATACCGCAGTGATTTGGAGTTCCTCCCTGACCGGTCTTTCACAGCTATTGAGCTCCGTAAGGTCCGTAGCTCCGTAGCGACGCGGTCCGTTCAGAGGTTCTGTGTGCTCCGGATTCGCTGCATCGGGTCCCGATCCCAAACAGATCCGCCGCCCCCATCGAGCCCTGATGACAAAGCCATTTTGGGCCATCTCTCCAGAATCCGATTTTCACCTCATGTGGCATGTCCTTCGAAATCGTCGTGTTATTTTGAGCCGCCAAGACATCCCTGATCAGTTTCGACCACAGATCACCATACATCGCAACAGATCACGGTCACAGATCACCAGAGTCTCACCATGGGAGTCTCACCCCTCGCCACCTTTCTCGCTAGCGTCGACTCCACCGAGGCCCTAGACGTGTTCGACGCTCCGGAGCCGCGCAGGTTCGGCACCGCGAGCGCGCCAGGCGCGGCGGGAGACGGCATGGGCGCTGGCTCGGCGGTGTTGGTGCCGGTGTTGGTGCCCGGCGTTTTGGGGCACTGAGTGTGGGACCAAGCTCTGGGTCTGTGTGTTTGAAGAGGTTTTGAATGAAGAAATCCGTGGGTGCTGAAGACAGTGAGTCCCTGGCGGTCTTGGGCGACCGACGCTGAGCTGGCGGCTCTCACTGAGCGGAAGCCGGATACATCGAATGCGGCTGTGAACGAAATGATGAATGGAATTCTGTGCTACTCTGGGCTTGAGCAGCTGCAGCGTGATCCTTCACCCATGGGATAACGTGGTTGACATGAACTGCATCTACAACCTGTTAGAAGAATATCTTCTAATTATGTATAGAGAGGATTTCACAGGCTTCCACAGGGCTTCCATGAATTTGTCGCAACCCCTCCGCCAAACTTTGTTTTTAAACTTCCAGTTGGCATCCTACTAATAGACCCCAAACACTTCGCTTCAAGAGCACCGTGAAATCAAGAGCTTCCAGAATTGTGCTTGCCTCTCCAGAACTATTATTGGACCACTTTGTCAAACATGAACCGAATAGACTACCAGAAAGGTCCACCTTTGCCTTGGTTTGGGGCTCCACGTTTTGACCCGCAGACAAATGAACAGAATGGATGGCCTGGGAGGTCAACCAAACAGGGTTTGAAGACTCCTACTTGCACTTTGCACACTGCGCACCCCCGGGCGGGAGGGCGAGTATGGTGGGTCCAGGTTTTGACCCACACCCAAATACCCCTTCATTCATCTTATATCCCTTTGTCATCCTTTGTCTATAGCCCTTGTCAACTTCCACGTCGAGCCGAGGGGTGCCACACCTTCTCGCCGTAGTCTCTTTGCCAACTAAGATCGCCTGTGCCGCCTGCAAGTTTAGGAGCAAACATGGAGCATTGGTTGATGCTGAGAGGTGAATCTTGGCTCATGGCCCTCTCAACACCAATTGCTACACTCTTCCGGTGACTCCTACGATTTCCCTAGTTAGGGTCAGTCAAGAGCTGTAGACAAAATATTCTGCATCGGTCAAATCTGCCACATGGCACTGCAGGTTCCACATCCGACCGCCACATGGCACTGCCAAGTCCAAGAACATGCAGCTTTGACCGCCACGGTCAAAGCATCACTCCCAACATCAGATAGAGGTGCTCCTCATGTCAAGAAACCAAATTTGAACAATGAAATTATTGGCACTCCATGAACCTAAAGACCGTCTAAACATCCCTAGTAAAACAATGATTCTTTGGGATTCACGCCATTAAATCAATGGTGGGCCAGGGATCCAGGGCAAATATATAGTTATAATTAGTTATAATATATTGTATTGTATATCCACGCTGTTCACCTGCTCCAGACTCTTTCCCACAGCCACATGATCCGATGACCCGATGACAACATCAGCCGCAGGTCTTTGCACTTGATCAGAGTCAGCCGTGAGCATCCCAAAACAGACTCCCGAGTAGGAGATCCCTGGAAAATCAAGATGAACATTGTTTTGAGTGGGGAAACTCATGTGCCCTATCCGGTTAATTACCAACTGAGTGTGTAGGAAATGGCATTGCAGTGTTCCGGAATTTGACCAGATCACTGCCATCCTGTGGTTTTGAAGCATCATCCCTTTAGCAAAGTGCACCTGGTACAGTATTGATTGCTGATGTTTTGGATCGTATTGGGCTCCATGAAGTAGGATAGCCGCAAAAGGACCTCCTGAAACTCACAAGAGCCTTTGATGAGATTTGATGAGCGTATGGGGCTGTTTCGGGTGAAACACCGTCTGCTTCGTTCATACACACCGAAGGCACCAACGAAGGCACGAACTCGACCCCCTGCCAATCACGGCATCACGTGGCATAACTGGGCTTTGGGGCTTTAAGGTTTGCACGCCCGGTGCACCCGGTGCTTTCACCCGGCCACGGCGGGCCGGCGCCGGAAACGCGCCTTTCCAAGCTTGCACTAAGCCATGCTCCTCAGTCACTCAGCATCCAGTGGTTCACGGGAGAGTCTTCAGATGAAATAACATATGACATATGACCAAAACACACACAACATCACACAACAATAATACATACACATACACAGATCGGTTATGATTTTGTTTCATGTTGTTTTCCTTACACACTGGTGGCTGACGTGAAAGCTGGGCTCTGATGACAATGTTCGAGAAGAAACATCACGTGTTCTTTTGCTACGATTTGGGTCTCCACCTGAATGATGTACCAAAGGCCATCCCAACTTCTAAACCATGGCCTTGTATGCTAGTAGGAGCTAAGGGCCTTACTACTAGTAACAAGGTTCGCTACTAGGAACAAGTGCATTGCTTCTAGTAACAAGTGCCTTCTACTTGCATATATTTCAGAATGGAAGATGCTGATCTGTTCGCATGATTCTGAACCGGCACCAGTGGGACAGGACAAACATGCGGCACATGTGTCAATGGTGGTTCACCGGCCGACCAAATGACCGGCCGAGCCAATGCATCCTGAACAAATGGATCTGGATGTGTATTGGCCCTGGCTGGGTAGACGCTGGCGTCTATTTTCCGAACCTTTCAGGGGGTTGGAACGCCGGCGGTTCGGTCTCCCTAGAGGTTAATACACATCCAAATATGATGAACATGCAAGAAACATGTTGTGTCAACAGTAGCCCCTTCTATTCAGGTCAACTTTCCTTGAGCAGGAAACCTTGCTGCTGATAGGATGTGTCTGTTGCCTGTTGCTGACAAGCAATGCATGTATCTTGGCTATTGTATATAAATTTTCTTTAGACAATGACAAGGTGCACAAGCTTGCTTGCATGCAGTGTTATTCTCTCTATATATATATAGCAAATTGACATGTCCCTGTCATTTTACAGTGTGTCTGCGTTCCAGCTATCATTATACAGAAATCACTCTCTATTTGCAAGCTTTCTAGTGTTGCCATGCAAAAAAACAGCACTTGACCAGGACAACCAAACACCGTAGTGGGGGCGCTGCCTTTAAATCCATTTTCACACTCAATTTCACCATCACGCGACCTCACGTGGCTATGGATCATCTCTAGCAAACCATAGCACCGCATCTTGGATGTGGGAAGAAAACAGGGTCGATTTCGTGGCTTTTCTTTCCCTTCTCCAGGTTTTATCGAAGAAACCGATCTCCTGCATCATCGTCTGGAGATCGGGAAAATCAAAGTTGACGTTGTTCCATCTTGTTCCACCTCTTCATTCTTTGGTGGGAAAACCTCTCATCCCCCAACAACAAGCTTCGAGTTTCTCCCATTTTCCTGGAGACGTTCCCCTTCATCCCTTCGGTGACCTCCCAACGAACGCTTCGCTTCGCTCCACTCTGGGCGCCCCCCGGCCGTCGCGCTGAGAAGGCCTCGCCCCACGCAACGGAGCAGGTGGATGGGCTCACTGGCCGCAATCTGGGCGGTGCCACGGGGAGGAAGTGGTGAAAACATCAGGGGAAACAGCCAGGTGGGTGGATGGTGGATGGGTGGGTACAGTAGAAACTCCCTCCACCTCAGGACTTGAGCTGGTTCGTAGGGTTCACGACATTCACTGACCATGGCATGTTTCGTTCGATATGGCCTGCATGGCTTTAGCAACCCATCTCCACATCCTGCTCTCAACAAAGCTCCGCGACCCAATGGGTTTGTTGGCGAAAGCGATATCTATCCCCTTGTGGAGGTCATTCACCTTTGAACTCTACCATCTGTGGCACTTCCAGCTTTGGACTTTGAGCGTCTTCAGGGTCACATGTGGTTCGCACCTCCCAGAGCTCGTGCGACGACTGGGCCCCCCGGTCGCGGCGCCAGTGCAAGCGGCCATCCTCGAGGTGATCGCGGGGAGGAGGCGAGGCGAGGTGTGACTGGGGCGCATCCTCTGAAGGAACAGAACGGAATAGACATGGATCATAGAATACAAATATTAATCCATATCCCTATGGATCCGCATACCTTCTCAGAAGGTATGACTGGGCTCTCCTGGCGCCTACATAAATAGTCTCCAATCAACTTCTCAGAAGGTATGTGGATCCATAGGGCTATATATATATATATATGTATATTGTATACAGTATGTGTGTATATATAAGCACAGCCACCGATCTTTTTTCACGCGTTGCAGCAGGTTTGTCCAAGAACGATGCACCTAAGGGTGCCGAAAACTGAGAAATATCCTCTTCGGGGCCCCGACACCCTCCTTCCCCGCCAGACCAGAGGAAGAAGGGTGCCCCCCAGTGCCCCCCAGGGCCGCGTCCGCCAGACCGGAGCTCCCTGG